CAGACAGACAGACAGACAGACAGACAGACAGACAGACAGACAGACAGACAGACAGACAGACAGACAGACAGACAGACAGACAGACAGACAGACAGACTTGAACTTCACTTCTTAAACGGCAGTTACACTTGACCAGATCATTATCAATTATCTTTTGATTGTTTTTGAGTCGGATCGCAGGGGAATCAGATTGAGCAGGAAGTAAGAATGTCAGTTTGACTAAAATCATTCTACTTTTCATACRAATCTTTTATGATTGGCGGCAGAGCTGAGCTTTGATTATACATCACAACGGGCTGCCATACAACCACTTTATTCATGATGACGTAATTCATATTCGACGGGTTGGACTACAAATTTGGATGAATTAGTGTTCAAAGATATTGGTTGGGGCTGCGTCTGGCCAAATSCAAACGTTTACTTGTTTAGTTTATTTCTAATACGAGCATTAAACTTAAATGTTAGTGTTTTAATCGTGCACCTACGTGTGTCTGTTCGTCACGTGCTGTAGTTTTATTAGACAAGCTAACTAGCATACAGGTTTTACGTTACGCGAGGCGTATTTCTTTGATATTTCTTAAGCTTGTTTCGACACTTAACACACCAGAACTTACTTTTTAATTTATATCTCTACGGAGACGATCTAAGATCAATTTCTCCAGTACTTCCGGACTACAAAACCACTTCATGCGCGTGAGTCGTTAGCTGCTGAAAATCTGTCGCAGACGTTCTGTGAAAGTCGTGGTTTTGAAGGGTGAAAATCTCATTGAATGTCCTGTAATAGTTGCTGCTGTAAGATTAGTTTTTATTACACCAGTTTATTCTCAATTTTGTGAAATATTTTAAGACATTATGCAGAACAGTGCGCGTTATCTAATCTTTTTTCAGTACATTGGAACAAAATACAGGTTGGTCACATGGCACGATGGGGTGACATTATATAAACAGGACGGCTGACCTTTGTATAATGCTTCTTTTAATTTTTGCAGTGGTGTAGTGAGTGTGGCTCACTGTCAGCCTGGTAAAACAGGAGTTCAGGACCACTTGAAGGTAAGTTTTTATCTTGAAGGTTATTTTGATCAAATACATGAACTGCTCACAAATCTTTTTAGGTAAAGGTAGCAAARCATATAAAATGATAATGTGTTAAATATCTGTCAGTAGTGTTGCAAATGTTTTAAATCTCTCTTTCTCTCTTTTTGTGCAGGAAGCACTTCAGAAGCTGAAACCACTTGATCCGGTTTCTGTCTTTGTGTCCAGCAGGACAGACAAGGGTGTCCACGCCCTGTCTAACTCTGCTCACTTTGACCTCCAGCGCCGTCACAACAAACCTCCGTTTACTGAAGACATCCTCATTCAGGCACTCAATTACAACCTGGGGACAGAACAAATCAGGTGAGTCCGGCTTCATGGAAAGAAGGTTGTTTCTGCCTCAGGGTGATGTGTCTGGGTAATCTCCAAAGGGAGGCATCCTAATCAGATGCCCAAACTCTACTCTAAGCTCCCCCTCTGATGATGGAGCTCTTCACCCTATCACTAAGGCTTAGCTTGGCCACCTCATAGAGGAGGCTTATTTCAGCCTCTTTTACTAAGAATCTAGTTCTGTCAGTTTTGATTTAAATCTTGTGACCATAGGTAAGGGTTGGAACACAGGCGGACCAGTAAATGGAGAACTCCTTTTTATTTTCACAGCAGAGCAATGCATCACCCTAATCGTATCCATCTTTGGCTCCATTCGATCATCATTTGTGAACAGGACTGTCCTCTACAGTCAGATACTCACTCCAAACCCAAAAAGGTCATTTCTCTTGTTTTTTTTTTTTAGTTGAGAACTGAGGTTTTGAACTGAAAGAAACTGATTCTCATCCCAGCAGCTTCACACACAGCTGCAAACCGCCACAGTACACACTGAATATCRTAGCTTAAGTCACCAAGAGGATTGGATCATTGGCAAAAACTGGGACAAGACCCCCTTAGGTTACTGAACCTGACACCCTTTTCTCAACCACTGCACCTTGAGATCCACTACGAATAAGATCAGAGGCGAGCCCCAGCAGCGTCCAACCTGCACCAGGACTGAGCTCGACTCTGTGCTGAGAGTATGAGCACAGCTTTCAGTTTGGTGTCGCTCCCACACATCGTGCTAACTTTGCTCCAGATGCTTAAAAAAAGCATGAACACTGAAATGCAAATTTAAAAAAAAAAGCTGAATGCATTTCCTTATTCAACATAAGTTTTTGATTAATAAAAAATAAATAACGTCCTGATTTGAAAATATCTGCATTATATATTAACTTTTTGACTGCTTAGTGATATTAGGCTGTTTTTTTTACATTTCTTCTCAAATCCTTTTTTATACTGTCAAATGATTTTCCGTAACAAATACATTTTATATTTGAATAAACTAATTTTTCCATCCCAACTGATTAATATGTTAGATTGTGAGGTTATTTATGGAGCAAACAT